GATTCAAACATTCAACCCGGATGATATTCTCACAAAAACCCGTGGCAAGCCATTAAGCACAATGGTGAGGAACCAAGAAATTATATTTTACTTATGTCATCATTTTATTATAGATTTTACTTGCAACTACCGAATTTCTAGCACTGCATATTAAAATGTAAATAAGTTGAACTTGCAAGCCTTTTGAGCTGAATAAAAATTTATATTAACAATAAAAATTATTGGAGACAGAGGTTTCGAACTTCAAACTGAAAGTAAATTCTAATATCATCCACAAAGACTACTTTTGAAAATAGAGAAAATATTCACAAATAGTACTAAGCTCTTATTGGAAAAACTAATAGGAAACAGGAAGCTGACTCCGGCCCCTTAGTTGGGAGGGAAGAAAATGGCATCAGAGGTCCTCTTTGAACGGAAAAGCTTTTCTACATCAGGAGCCACCGCGAAAGCTGCTGTAAGCACCTCAGGAGACAAAGACTTCCAGACTGAAGTTCTTCCAGCCAAATGAGTGAATACAGGACTGCAATTGACAAACAAATAAATTATCAAATTAGAATGGGAATGGAACAAGATTAGAGTTTGAGGAGTTAAACAAGTTAACTTCAAGACTTACTCGGGAGTGCTGATGATGGAGAACCATTCCATGCCATCAGGGTCAGCAATCTTGGAAACCACAAAGAACCTTGGAACAATGAACAGATAACCAGCCTTCACGGTGGTTTCAAGGACTCTACGTCCGTCAACACCAACAACTTGAACACGGCCACTGCCCCGGACAATGTATGTCACCTGGAGAGCAGAGTCACAGGAGAAACCAGGGGAACACATAGCACTTCCATCCAACCTAACAAGGTCAGCACCTAACCCAACCTGCCCAACCAAAGGAAGGTTCTTGGTATTCAAGACCACAACCCTTCCACCATTCTTGATGTCAACATCCAATGGAGCTTCCAAGCAGTTCAGAGCCATTCCTTGGCGATGCTCCTTCTTGGGTGCAGGCATCTTGAAGTTGGCATCAAGCTTGACAATGCCAGTGCCCTTTTGCTGTCCAACAAGGGAATTGACAGCTTCATCTGGGAGGTCCCATGCTCGCTTCACAAACTCAGTTGAGAAGCCAGTGAAGATGCCATTGGCACCTGTCAAGAAGAAATCTGTGAATTGACCAGCTTTGTGGGCCTTAGAAGTTTCACCCAGGAAAAGCACCACCAGCTCAGTGTCCTCCTTGTTATACCACCAAGTCACAACACCAAAAGGAAGAGCAATAGCATCACCCTTCTTAATTTCAATCACTTTCTCTTCCTGCTCAGGAAGGACAATTCCAGCCACACCAATTCCTGAAAAAGGTGATAGATAATCAATAGTTAGGTTGAATAGAAATCAAAAACAATAATATTTGATAATCCATAAAAACAGAATTCATTATGACAATTACAAAAGCTTTGCCTTCTCAAGTTAATAAAAAGAATCAATTATACAATTCACTTCCAATTCAGTCCAAATTCCAATATCCCCTAAATCAAAATTAGATCAATGTATATCTAGAAATAAGAGAGCAGATTCCTCATGACAGAGAGACATCCAAATACATAAAACATTGTAATGAAAAACAAACCCAAAACGGAACCAATTCCTGATTCCAATCTCTCTCTTCTTCTTTTTTTTCGAATATCCGAAATAGTTGAAATTCATACAAATCATATGTAAATAAATTAACAAGTTCATGATCGCTCAAATGGAACAGTGAATCAGTGACGATCAGGGTAGATAAACGCAAGAAATATACACAAAACCGAAACAAAGAACACGCAAAGGGACAACTCCGATGAGCAAAACACAGAAACAAGACGGAAAATCAAATTACCTTGAAGAACATAAGCAACCTTTGAAGAATCAGAGTAACGAGGAAGAGCAAGTCCGTTCTTTTCAAGGGCGAGCTTGGCTGCGCCGATGTTGCCCTCACGAAGCATAGGCAGCTCCTGGGGGCACCAGGCGTGGTAACTGCCTCCTACATTGTCACTGGAGACCTTCTTGGGCAGCTTTGGAGAGAGATCGAGATCCATGGTAACCTTCCTGCGTAAAGAAAAAAATTCCCGAGAAACAAACAGAAAAAAGCTGAGAAAGCAGGGAGTGGAAGGGACTACTGTGACTCTGTGAGAGAATCTTTATATAGTGTTGAGCGGAAGAGTTTATTTTAAACTGTAAAACGGCATTTTAGGGATAAGCATGATAATTAGAAACAGTAAAAGATTGTGAGTCCTGATTCGGCAATTACTACTTATTTGGCAAGGTTGATTAGGATAATGCGGATAATCTTGTTTTACTTTTATTTTATATTTTGAAATAAAAAGTAGGAAAATGATTTTGAGATTTTTTTTAATCACTTTT